GGCCCCCAACTGGATCAGGCCCTCTGAATAGGTGAGACAGTCAATTGGCTTGATCTGTTTGGGAGGCATCTAGGCAGTGGTACCAGGTCCTGGGCTCGTTGCATGAGTTAGCTGTTTGAAACCTGGGACTTATGCAGGGACGCTTGGCTCAGTCTGGGAGGAGGGCACTGGACCTGCCTGTATTGTCTATTTCAGAGGGAGTTTCTTGGGTTGTTAGGAAGAATGTATGTTCTGCAGACTTTGAATGGAATGTTCTGTAAATATGTTAAATACGTTGAACTTATGATGCCATTTGATTCATGCATTTCTTTTCTTTTTGTTGAGAAGGCCTGCCAGTTTCTGAGAATGGGGTATTGAACTCACCAACCATTGTGCTCAGGTTAATCTGTGACTTTATATACAATAGTATTTGTCTTATGAAACTGGGTACACCTGTGTTAGGGCGTTTCTGTTTAGAGTCACAGTGTCTTCTTGATGACTTGTTCCTGTAGCCAGTATGAAGTGGGCTTCTTAATTGCTTTTCACTGCTGTGGGTAGGAAGTCTGTTTTGTCAGGTACTGGAACATTGACTCCTGTTTGTTTCCTCCTAGGTCCGTTTGCTTTGAACACTTTCAATACTTTGACCCCGAGACGGTGTCTGTCTCTTGTGTTGAGGTGTGTTTCTTAGAGGCAGCAAATAGGAAAGCCCTGCTTGATGATCCAACCTCCTAGTCTGTACCTTTTGACAGGACAGTTAAGATCATTAACACTCAGACTTATTTTTAAAATGCTTCTACTGGTTGCTGCCATTTTGTTAATCCTGTAGTGTTTTGTTTCCTCTTTCCCTCTTGGTTAACTGTTATTCTAGCATCATCTATTCTTTCCTGTGGCCTCACAAACTTGTTTTTCTCTGGTCCGAAGGATACCTTCAAGTGTTTTCTGTAGAACTGGCTTACGATCATAAATTCCTTTACCTTTTTTTTTTTAATCATGGAAAGTTTTCATTTTTCCTTTGATGATTAGAGTATTCGGGCTGGCAATTGTTGTCTTTCACAACTGGAAATACAGCTGTCCGGGCCCTCCTGGCTTTGAAAGTCTCTGTTGGATGATTCACTGTTGCTCTGAAGGGCCTGCCTTTCTGTATGACCCTGGCCGCTTTCACGGCGTCGTCTCTCTTCTGTGTGTTAGTGTTTTAATTATCGTGTGACAGGAGCTCTTTCCTAGTCTTGTCTGTGTGGTGTCCCAAATGCTTTCTCAGATAGATGTCTCTTCCTAACTCCAGGAAGTTCTATATGTTATAGTCAGGACTTACTCGGCTTTTTCTTCTTACATCCAGTTTAACAATTTTTATATTTTCATTGAAACAGTTGGTCGATCATGTTTTATATGATCACTGATAATGTTGGCGTAGTCAGTGGTATGGTGGGGCTGCACCTGCTCTTTGATTCAGAACGTTTGCTATCTGTTCCTCCTTTCCTACCCTCTGTTGTAAGCAATTTTCAGTTGTCACTTTTAATCCCACTTTTATTTTTCAACTAAATAATTTTTTTTGTCATTGCTCCATAAACCACACTATTCACAAAGTTCATCTTTAACTTCTTGCCATTTCCTTAATAATAACTTAATTCTGGTGAAAACACAATAGCTTGAGGCTGGAGAGATGTTTGTGGTTAAGAACACAGGATGCCCTTCCAGAGGATCCGAGTTCAGTTCCTGGCACCTGACAGTCCTTTGTAACGCTAGTTCTAGGGGATCTGATGCCCTCTTCTGACCTCTACAGGCGCCTGGTGTATAACATATGCAGGCCAAATACTCGTACACATAAAATAAAAATAAATACATTTTTTTTTAAAATTAGCCTTACTGAGTATAGTTCCATTTTTCATTTGTATTATTATTCTCAAATGGTGCTAATATTCTCTAACAAAATATATATATTCCAGAATGTGGAATGTCTGCCTGAGAACACTGCAAGTCCTGAGTACAACCAACCCAAGCGCAAGGTCATGTGCTGCAAATGACTGGACTGTTGGAATGGATCCGTTCAAGCTCACCGAAGTTCACATGAAGCCAACGCGTGCCCCACAGGTAATATCCCTGCTAGGTTTTAGTCTTGCTTCGCCCGATCTTTCCTCACTGTCTTGTCCCTCCCTTTGAAATGCAAATGCCTGCTCCATGCCTTTGTATGCTGGAAATGTGTAACTTAAGTTTTGGCTTTAGAGAGGCTCCCAGTTGAAAGACTTCTTTGGGACTCAGAAGAGACTGAACTTTGGCCTTTTGAGCAGAATCGGGACTGTTAAGACTATGGGGCCTTTTGAAGTTGGACTAAGTACATTTTGAATTTTGAAATGGCCGTGAGCCTTTATGGGCCAGGTGCGGCTTGAATCTGAAAATGTCCTCCCCAGGCTCCTGTTTGGAATGCTGGGTCTGCTGCTTAGGCTGCTCTTTTGAAGGCTGAGGACCCTTTCAGAGGTGGGGTGTGGTTGGCAGAAATAGAAACACTGGCAGTGAGCCTTTGAAGGTTATACTTACCCCTGGTTCTGGCTCACACTCTCTGCTTCCACATCAGCTGCTGTGTGGAGACCCACACTACAAACTACCACTATATTCATGTTCTGCACCCACCACCACATGCTACCACTGCACCCATGATCTGCACTCACCACTACATGCTACCACCACACCCATGATCTGCACCCATCACCACATGCTACCACATGATGTGCACCCACCGCCACATATTACCACATGATCTGTACCCATCACCACATGCTATCACTACACCCATGATCTGGGCTAACTACCACACCTCCCTTGCAGTGATGTACTGAAATCTGTCTGAAACTGTGAGGAAACCTTCCCCCACCATGAGCTGCTAAAACAAGTACTTGATTACAGAGGCACAACAGTAACTACGTCACCTCCCAAGGACAGACATCAGTTCTCTCCCCAGTCTCTCATGGCCATGTGGAGCTGGGCTTCAGTCTCTTCTTCATGTTTGGCCGCAGAGGAGAGGTTCTTGTTTGAAAGGTTCCATGTCACTACCTGTCCCATCCCCTCTCCTTTGGTTAGGGAAAGTGAGTTCTCATTGGGGCATTTTTATTTAAACACATTAGTATTTCCAGGGTGTCACTTTCTTAGGGGCCAAATCTGAGTTATGTAAAGAAAAGAATAACCCAGAGAACTCAACTCTATGCCATTCTTGGAATCCTGAGGCTTCCCACCGGTCTTTCTTTCTGTATCAACTTTTCATAAGATGTGTAACATCCAGGGTGCCCAGTAGTGTTTATCATGGGAGCTAGAGAAACACAGATCAATTCTCTCTCTAAATGTGGAGGTGTGCTATGCCTTTAACAAAACAAACAATGCAGAGTTCCAACTACTATTTTAAATAATATTGAAGTTTGAAGGCATTTAAGAATGCATGCATGTAGGGCTGGAGAGATGGCTCAGTGGTCAACATCATTTGTTGCTCAAAAAATATTTTTGAAATTTTTATTTTCTGTGTATGAGTATTTTGCTTGCATGTATGTCTGTGAACCATATGTGTGCAGTACCTGTGGAGTCCAGAAGAGGGCATTAGATCCTTTGGAAGTAGACACCATACTTCATGTTGGAGACCAAACGAAGGTCCTCTAGAAGAGTAGCCAGTGCTCTCAACCCTCCCCCCCCCCCCCCCCAGTCATCTCTCCAACCTCCATGTGCTGCCCTTGCAGAAGACCCAGGTTTGGGTCCTTGCACCAACACTAGGTGGCTCACAACCATGTATAACTCCATTTCACAGACTCTGACACCCTCTTCTGGCCTCCACAGACACCTCTTCACATGTGGTATATAGACATACACTTAGGCACACATACATAGACATTAAATAAATACATATTTAAAAAACAATGCATGTATGTGTTTGTATGTGAACTCAGTCACTGACATGGACTAGTTTCTATGTCTTACCAATTCTTACACAGTATATCTGCAAGAAACTCATTTGCCTTTTTAAAAATTAGGGATGTTTTGTTTCTAACTGAATTTAAACAACAGCTTTCTGAGCTACAGAATCTGGGTTGCCTGTCTTCTTTTTACACATGAAATGCGCCACCTCTTCCCTTCCTGTTGTTTGTACTGAGAAGTCGCTCGTTAACTATGGCCCCCTGTGTATGACCAACCAGTCTTCACTTTCTACTTACAGAATTTCCCTGCCTTTGACTCAGCCTCCTTGGCTGTGATGTCTGTAGGCGTGGCTCTCTTCATGGTTTAGTTTCCTTTATTTTTTAGTTCTTATATCTATATATTGTCATTTTCATAAAATCATAGAAGCTTTCAGGCACTTTTTCAAATATATATTTTTTTAAATTATGTGCCTGTGTATGCATGTGTGCGATGTGCATGTTTATGCACAAGTGTGTGTCTGTGTGTATGAGCATGGGTGGGTGCGTGGTGGCATGGCGGAAGTGCAGGGACCTGTGGAGGCCCGGAGCTGGAGTTGCGTATGGTTGTAGACTGCCTGGCATGGGTGCTGGGAACAGAACTTGGGTCTTCTGGAAGAACAGTGCCTGCTTTTCACCACGGAGCCGCCTCTCCTGCTCCTCTTCAAATGGTTTTTACGTCACTCTCCCTCCTCTTCCTTGTTGACAAAAAGACAGTTTCGTTATTTTCTCCCAGGGATCACTGGCTCAGGTGTCTATTATTCAAGACCAGAAAACACTATCATAAATCTGTTCCGTTTTCTAGTTGAGGCAAGAAGGGAAAGCCCCTCGAGTTCCTTTTCCGCCATGGCCAGTAGTGTTTCAAGGGTCCAGGAAGTGCAGGAGGAAAACCTCAGACATTAGGAAACCCCAGACAGGGGCACTCCAAACGCTGACCTCAAATTGCCTTCAAGAGGCTTCCTGGGGGAAGATGGTGGATTAGAAAGCTGTCTGTTTGACACATAAAGGAGTCAGATTAACAAAGGGCAAGCTATCCAGGGAGAGGAGGAGAGGGGCAGGGGAGATCAGAGCGATGCTGTCAGCGGAGATGAAAGGGAGGACAATCAGAAAGGCTGACAAGTTGAGTAGGTGACAGCCCCACCGCAGAGTCGAAGCCACAACCACACAGTAAGCCAGGCAGACTCGGTGACAGCTTGCCAGTCCTAGCCACAGTGTGAACGTGAAGTTCTTGCAAGTTTTAAATACAGTGGAGGGGCTCCTGTAATGTGGCAGGCCAGGGGGAGAGGAGACATCCATGTTGTCACTCCCCGTATCTCAGTGACATGTCAAGGTGTTATCTCAATAAGTGGTCTGTTGGGATGGGATGGGTGGTTCAGTAAGAGCACTGGCTGCTCTTCCAGGGGACCCCGGTTTGAGTCCCAGCACCTACATGGTGTCTCACAACTGTTTGTAATGTTATTTCTAGATGATTTGACATCCTCCTTTGGCTTCTGAGGGCACCAGGCATGTATGTGGTACACAAACATACATGCAGGTCTAATACTAATACACATAAAATAAAATAATAATTTAAAAAATGTAAGGAGGAGCCTATTATTTGACACTTAGATACTCTGGGGACATGAAAATAAGTCAGGGGAACTGGAGAACTGGCTCAGAGGTTAAGAGCACTGGTTGCTCTTCCAGAGGACCCAGGTTCAATTCCCAGCACCCACATGGCTGCTCACAAACATTACTAAGTCCAATTCCAGAGGACCCGATGCCCTCTTCTGGTCTCTGCAGACACTAGGATCATATACAGCACACAGACATACATGCAGGCAAAATACCCATCACATAAAAAGAAAATAATTAATTCAAAAAATTGTATCTTAAAAAATAGAACAAAAAGTCAGATACCCTGAGGACACCCTGCCCCAGTGTCTGGGCGGGAGAGAGCTATGAAAGGTCATTGTGAGGACAGAGAGGGTCCTGTACCAACCCACTGAGAAGTTAAGGAGCAGGAAGCTTATGCTGTGAGGATGTGGTGGCATCGGGCATGCCCTGTGTTGTAAAGGAGTGAGCCCTGACACCTGAGGGTCACTTCAGAGACCAAGCCCCGAACCTGTGGCCCGGGGATTGCTCAGCCTCCAGAGTTGCATCATACCGTGCGTTCTTTATGTATACTGGGACCAGAGCTCCAAGCTCGGGTGTAGCAGATCCCAGATTCCTCTATTTCCACAGCTTGCTCCCTCTCTCTCTCTCTCCCTCCCTCCATTCCAGGAGGTGGTAGGATCTGAAGCCACCAACATGGGCAGGCAGGGTGATGGGTCACCCGGGGCTTGTCCTGTCTGTTGTAGAGCTCAATGCTCTTTTTGCTTCCCCAGGCCCTGGGCTTGGGAATCTGCCACCCTTGACTGCAAATACCGTGGGGCCTCTAGAGCAAGGAAGAAGCTGCCTAGTTTATGGGCTGCAAAGTGTGTTGGCCATCAGTAGCCCCTACTCTGCAAAGAGGGGAAGCTTCTACATAGAACGCAGACCTGATTTTGATCGCTGACCTTTGACCTGCCTGAGCCTTATCCTGTAGAATGCGCCAGGCTGAAGATTCATTTGCTTCTCTCTGAGTGCCACTGGAAATTGAGCCCTAAGAAACAGCTGCTCCCTAAGAAGACCCCAGAAGGAACTGGGAAAGATAGGCATCCATAGGCATCCCAATAGTTGCATAGTTCTCAACTCATAAAAAACATGAAGTATGGAAAGCAGGACTATATAGGATTCACCCAAGATGTCACACCTATGAACAACTGAATTCAAAGACTGGTTGAGATGCCTGACAGAAATACCAAAGTCTTGTTGTTTAAATGGCCAGTGACCTCGAAGAAGATTTCAATACTTAGGTGAATGGAGTAAATTCAAGATATGAACAAGAAATCCAGCAACTTGGCTAAGATGTTCAACAACCAGATGAGAAAAACAGTGAGACAAATGAAACCAAACAGTCCAACAGCCTCCCTCCAGAACTCCCGGGAACCCAAAGGTCAATAAATCAAATTAAAATCTCAATAAAAATGATCCCTAATAGACTGAACCAGGCAGGAGAAGGACTAGCAGGGATTAAAGACAAGGCTGAGGAATGATTAGATGAAGACGTGACAAGAAAGACAGGATACAGCCATCAGGATG